CAGAGGAGCGCAGCGAGGGGCACCGCGACGACGCCAGTGACCACTCACACTCGCACACGCCGAGGGAGTCGCTCGGGGGGTTCGGATCGTCCATTTCAGCTCCTGTGTCGCCAGCTGGCTCACCTACCAAACACGTGAGTGAGTTCGGATCGTCCATTTCAGTGGTTGAGACGACCCCAGGGGCCACTCGCACCCACACACGCCGAGGAAGTACCTCGGTGAGTTCGGATCGTCCATTTCATCTCCTGTGTCGCCGGCTGGCTCGCCCACGAAACACGTGAGTTTGGTGGTTGATAGATACGACAGAAGCGCCTGCTGGCAGAGGAGCGCAGCGAGGGGCACCGCGACGACGCCAGCGACCACTCGCACAACCCCAGAGAGTCGCTCGAAGGGTTTGGATCTTCAATTTCAGCTCCTGTGTCGCCAGCTGGCTCTCCAACCAAACATGTAAGTTAGTTTGTTGAGATGATGACGGTAGCAACCACTCGCACTCGCTCTCGCACTCGCACTTGCGCATTCCCTTGACGTTGTCATTGACGGCACCCCTCTCTCTTCCCCGGCACACCCACACAAAAAGGCCTCTCCAAAATGTGTTTACCACTACAGAGCGACCTCTCAAATTCCTGCTTCTCTCCCCTATCTTGCAACACATGAACCGCAGGGAAGCCACTACCTGGATGGTCGGCCGTCCGGCCTGGGTGGGGCGCCCCCGTCCATCAGCTTCTGGAGCGGCGCGCACAGCGCCAGCGACAGCACGGCAACATCTGTTGAGAACGTGGAGGAGCTGGAGATGCTGCTGGAGGCGTACTTTGTCGTGATTGACGGCACGCTCAACAAGCTGACGCAGCTGTCGCAATACATTGACGACACGGAGGATTTCATTAACATCCAGCTGGATAATGTGCGGAATCAGCTCATTCAATTCGAGCTCATCATGACCACCGCTGGTGAGTGAGTGAGTGAGTGAGTGTATGGCTGCTACTGTTGGTGAGTAGTGTCTGGTTCCTGCAGGCACGTTTGGGATGAACGCGCCGCTGGAGCTGTAGAAGGACCCATCCGTCCTCAAGTGGATCCTCATTGACTCGGGTGTGGGGGGGGTGGGAACAAGAGCTTCAATCGAGGCTCAAGCACAGGCTCTTGCTCTTGCTCTTCCGAACCTGTGCCATACAGGTGAGTGTGTATGGTTCCTGCTCATGGGTGCTCTTCCGAACCTGTGCCATACAGGTGAGTGTGTATGGTTCCTGCTCATGGGTGCTCTTCCGAACCTGTGCCATACAGGTGAGTGTGTATGGTTCCTGCTCATGGGTGCTCTTCCGAACCTGTGCCATACAGGTGAGTGTGTATGGTTCCTGCTCATGGGTGCTCTTCCGAACCTGTGCCATACAGGTGAGTGTGTATGGTTCCTGCTCATGGGTGCTCTTCCGAACCTGTGCCATACAGGTGAGTGTGTATGGTTCCTGCTCATGGGTGCTCTTCCGAACCTGTGCCATACAGGTGAGTGTGTATGGTTCCTGCTCATGGGTGCTCTTCCGAACCTGTGCCATACAGGTGAGTGTGTATGGTTCCTGCTCATGGGTGCTCTTCCGAACCTGTGCCATACAGGTGAGTGTGTATGGTTCCTGCTCATGGGTGCTCTTCCGAACCTGTGCCATACAGGTGAGTGTGTATGGTTCCTGCTGATGGGTGCTCTTCCGAACCTGTGCCATACAGGTGAGTGTGTATGGTTCCTGCTGATGGGTGCTCTTCCGAACCTGTGCCATACAGGTGAGTGTGTATGGTTCCTGCTGATGGGTGCTCTTCCGAAGCTGTCCGAACCCTCACCAGAACCAGAGCCTATATCTCCTCCGTCACCCCCACCTGTTTCCTGCTTCTGGTGAGTGTATGGTTCCTGCTCATGGGTGCTCTTCCGAAGCTGTCCGAACCCTCACCAGAACCAGAGCCTATATCTCCTCCGTCACCCCCACCTGTTTCCTGCTTCTGGTGAGTGTATGGTTCCTGCTCATGGGTGCTCTTCCGAAGCTGTCCGAACCCTCACCAGAACCAGAGCCTATATCTCCTCCGTCACCCCCACCTGTTTCCTGCTTCTGGTGAGTGTATGGTTCCTGCTCATGGGTGCATGGTTCCTGTCTGCTTGTGAGTTTCTGCAGGGCTTCTTTAGCGGGATGAGAGTTTCCTTGTGTGCTTCTGACAGATTGGTTCAAGCAGCTAGAGGCGAGCAGCCAGAGGTGCAACAGTCACCTCGTTCCTCCCTTTTCCCACTCCCATTGGCAGGGTTTGTTTGTGGTGGCGCTGTGGGGGGTGATAGCGGGCACGTTTGGGATGAACGTGCCGCTGCTGGGGTTGGAGGAGGACCCCTCCGCCCTCAAGTGGATCCTCATCAACTTGGGTGTGGGCGGTGTGGGGACGACACCTTCAGTCAAGCACGTTCTCTCTTGCTCCTCCTGATACTCAAACTTCCTGCTCCCCACATCTCTTTCCTCCTTCTCCCCGGGCCTCTTTCCTACTTCCATTACCGCGCACAAAACACAATGGCAGGGTTTGTGGTGGCGCTGTGGGGGGTGATAGCGGGCACGTTTGGGATGAACGTGCCGCTGCTGGGGTTGGAGGAGGACCCCTCCGCCCTCAAGTGGATCCTCATCAACTTGGGTGTGGGCGGTGTGGGGACGACACCTTCAGTCAAGCACGTTCTCTCTTGCTCCTCCTGATACTCAAACTTCCTGCTCCCCACATCTCTTTCCTCCTTCTCCCCGGGCCTCTTTCCTACTTCCATTACCGCGCACAAAACACAATGGCAGGGTTTGTGGTGGCGCTGTGGGGGGTGATAGCGGGCACGTTTGGGATGAACGTGCCGCTGCTGGGGTTGGAGGAGGACCCCTCCGCCCTCAAGTGGATCCTCATCAACTTGGGTGTGGGCGGTGTGGGGACGACACCTTCAGTCAAGCACGTTCTCTCTTGCTCCTCCTGATACTCAAACTTCCTGCTCCCCACATCTCTTTCCTCCTTCTCCCCGGGCCTCTTTCCTACTTCCATTACCGCGCACAAAACACAATGGCAGGGTTTGTGGTGGCGCTTTGGGGGGTGATAGCGGGCACGTTTGGGATGAACGTGCCGCTGCTGGGGTTGGAGGAGGACCCCTCCGCCCTCAAGTGGATCCTCATCAACTTGGGTGTGGGCAGTGTGGGGACGACACCTTCAGTCAAGCACGTTCTCTCTTGCTCCTCCTGATACTCAAACTTCCTGCTCCCCACATCTCTTTCCTCCTTCTCCCCGGGCCTCTTTCCTACTTCCATTACCGCGCACAAAACACAATGGCAGGGTTTGTGGTGGCGCTGTGGGGGGTGATAGCGGGCACGTTTGGGATGAACGTGCCGCTGCTGGGGTTGGAGGAGGACCCCTCCGCCCTCAAGTGGATCCTCATCAACTTGGGTGTGGGCGGTGTGGGGACGACACCTTCAGTCAAGCACGTTCTCTCTTGCTCCTCCTGATACTCAAACTTCCTGCTCCCCACATCTCTTTCCTCCTTCTCCCCGGGCCTCTTTCCTACTTCCATTACCGCGCACAAAACACAATGGCAGGGTTTGTGGTGGTGCTGTGGGGGGTGATAGCGGGCACGTTTGGGATGAACGTGCCGCTGCTGGGGTTGGAGGAGGACCCCTCCGCCCTCAAGTGGATCCTCATCAACTTGGGTGTGGGCGGTGTGGGGACGACACCTTCAGTCAAGCACGGTCTCTCTTGCTCCTCCTGATACTCAAACTTCCTGCTCCCCACATCTCTTTCCTCCTTCTCCCCGGGCCTCTTTCCTACTTCCATTACCGCGCACAAAACACAATGGCAGGGTTTGTGGTGGCGCTGTGGGGGGTGATAGCGGGCACGTTTGGGATGAACGTGCCGCTGGGGCTGGAGGAGGATCAGAGCGCCCTTAAGTGGATCCTCATTGACTCGGGTGTGGGCGGTATCCTCATCTTCCTCGCCTTCCTCGCCTTCTTCCGATACAAGAACTGGACCATCACGTGACGTGAGCACTGATAATCATAAACACATTCACCTTCCTCCTCACCTTTCTCCTCACCTTCCTCTTCACCGTCCTCATTTTGGAGTCGCCTAAAAAAAATCCTCTTCACCTTCCTCTCGTTCCCCACCTTCCCCACCTTCCTCGCCTTCCCCACTTTCCCCACCTTCCCCACCTTCCCCACTTTCCCCACCTTCCCCACCTTCCCCACCTTCCCCACCTTCCCCACATTTCCCACCTTCCTCGCCTTCCTCGCCTTGCTCGCCTTCCTCGCATTCTCAAGACATGAGTTGATGACGGGACAGGAGTTGATGCTCCATGAGTCAATGTACCTCCATGGTACATGGAGTGCGGAGCATAACACATCAAATATCCAGAATAGCAGCCGCCCGCCACGACAAGCGCTGGAGCCTGGAGCCAGTGGTGGTAACCTGATTTGAGCTCCGTGATATGTAACATGTAACAAGATGTTGCAGTAACACTGAGAAGTGCCCCAAGAGTTGATAAGAGGCTCTTATGAGGAGCAGAGTATATCCAAGATGGCCTGTTTATGTTTAGTTGTACAGATAAATGCTTGCAGCTTCAACAATAACTCGATTCACAGTTGTTACTGCCATAACTCGTGGCACTAAATGCAATCTGATGTTCCCACTTCCTTTACAGCAAAAACTAGGAAATTTACTAGAGATTGCACAGCTACACTACTGGAACAATCATATGGTAAAGCACTTTATATCTGCTTTCTACCACATAGCAGGCTACAGATATTGTCAACAGCCAGGTTTGGTGGCAGGTTTTCACAGTGTGAGAAGAACGCCTGTCATGTTGTCAGGGGCTAAGATGCGATGAGTGAGTGACCGCTTGATTGAGGCCTAGTGCGAGGAGGCCGTAGCGTTGGGTACCTAAGGAGATTGCCACATGGCGGGTTCCAGTTGGGCAATGATGACTGCCATGTTGTCCAGGCCTAGAGGTGATGAGTGCGCGCTTGAGACTAATGTGTCGGTTTGTCGAAGGTGAAAGTGGCCTCGCAGGATTCTTTGGGAGGCAAAGGAGGGGATTGCCACATGGCGGGTTTGAGCTGAGCGATGATGACTGTCATGTTGTCCAGGCCTAGAGGCGACGAGTGGGCATCCTTCGCAATGCATGCGTCCATGAGCTGTGCACATATGTCGGTTAGGGGTACCTGGGGGGGGAAAAGGGGAGAGGTGATGAGAGAGAAGATGATGAGGTGATGAGTGGGGCATCCTTCGCAATGCATGCATCCATGAGCTGTGCACATATGTCGGTTAAGGATACCTGAAAAGGAACGAGAGGAGAGGAAGCACAAGAGATGTGAGGAGTGATGAGAGACAAAGTGACAAAGAGGTGAGTGTATGGCCTTCGCAATACATGCGTCCATGAGCTGTGCGCATACGTCCGTTAACTCATGTCAGCAGATACCAGGGAGGGCTTTTGAGACGCCTCAAAAGCCGGTTAGTTCATGTCAGCAGATACCAGGGGGGGTCAAACACAAGAGCAATTGAAGCAAAGGCATGATGAATCATGAGAGTCTATATGACAATGAAATGTGTGTCTCATGCTGCAACAGCCGTCACTGTCACTTGCTGCCACAGCCGTCACACATGCACAGTCGCATCATGTTTTGACGCCTCTCCCATCATGTACGCCCTGTATGGTGTTGTGCCGACCTTCCCGTCACCAAAGCCATCCATGCACATGCACATGCCTCCCTCCTCCTCTCTACACACGCCTCCACACGTCACCCTCACCTCTGTCGCCAGCCTTGATCGCACAAACGTGACCACGGCTTGGCTTGACATTACGTCCCTGCAAGCAGGAAGCCACGCAGGCAAAAGGCCGGGTGGACAAACAAGCGGGTAGGCAGGCGGGCGGTGGGCAACCGGATGGGTGAGGGGGAGAGATTCGCATTGAGCACTGGACATAAGAGGACCAGTGAAATGTAGCCGTTGGAGCTGCGCTGTTATGGCAGGAGAATCCTGAAATGCCACAAGCACTAGTGGGTGGGGTGGGTGCATGAGGAAAACCCTGGAAGGGTGACTTGCGCTGCGAGGGAAAGAGACTCACCAGATGCCATCGCATGCAAGCACGATGAACTCGTCTTTGTCCGTTAGATCAACCTGCAGCGGCGGAACGGGGCAGGATGGAAGGAAAGAAAGTCAGGATTGCTGCTACTGCGCTATGAGTTTGGATGCTTGGGACTTTGAATAGATGCCATCGCATGCAAGCACGATGAACTCGTCTTTGTCCGTTAGATCAACCTGCGGCGACGGAACGGGGCAGGATGGAACAAAACAAAGTCAGGATTGCGGCTACTGCGCTATGAGTTTGAATCCTTGGGACTTTGAATAGATGCCGTCGCATGCAAGCACGATGAACTCGTCTTTATCCGTTAGATCAAGTTTTGAGACGTCTCAAAACTATGAACTCGTCTTTGTCCGTTAGATCAACCTGCAGCAACGGAACGGAGCGACATGGAAACCAGCGATGCGGATTGCCGGAAGGGTTTCATTCATGGGGAGACAGGCATGGGACGAGATGCAGGGATGGGGAGACAGGGATGGGGGGGAACGCAGGTATGGGGAGGGAGTCAACTTTGGAGGCGCCTCAAGGGATGGGGACACATGGATTGGGGGAAACGCAGGTATGGGGAGTCATCATGAGTATTGCGATGTGACTTCTGGTAGAGCAATTACCACTGTGCCTCAGGAGTAAATGCTTTCAAAAAGAAGTTTCTGTCTAGTGCTGGGTTGATTGACTTGATAGCAGGGGGATAACGAGTATTGATCGATACTGCGTAAGCACATCACAGCTGGGAAGGGCTTACTGATTTGACTTCTGGCAGTGCAGTGACTGCCTGTTTCTCTGGAGGTAGATCGGGCCTGTGCTTGTATTCCATGTCCCCTGCTCTCCCATACAGTCACACAGACATGCACGCGCACACGTATACGCACAAAGCGAGATGGCATTTTAGGCACCTCAAACATCTTCTCACGGACTGCCTGCTTCTTTGGAGGTAACTCGGGCCTGTGCTTGTACTTCATGTCCCCTGCTGAATGGATCACACACACACGCACACGCGTACACACACCGAAGCAGAATTTATTTCTTTCAAGGGGCCAAGGGGGGATGCGGGAGGGAGGTGAGAGGCGCCAGAAGGTGGGGGGAAGGGGGGGGGCAGGGCGGAGGGGAGGGGAGAGGCGCTTACCTAGGGCACGAGAGAGGCTGAGGCAGCCGTCTATCTGGCTGTCCGACACGAACTTCCCCGACTGCTCGATCCGCCTGCGCTCCTCCGGCATGGTGGGCTTGTGGTCTCCACTGGAGAGAAATTCTAGTCGGCGTTTGAAGGGGAAAAGGGAGGGAGAAGGAAGTGGGGATGGGGGGGGGGGGGGGCTTACCTAGGGCACGAGAGAGGTTGAGGCAGCCGTCTATCCGGCCATCCGACACGAACTTCCCCGACTGCTCGATCCGCCTCCTCTCCTCTGGCATGGTGGGCTTGTGGTCTCGCGACATCTCCACCGCCTCGCCTCCCCGGCTCACCACACACCGCGAGTCGCCCGCATTCGCCACCACCAGCTGTTTCCCCGCCACCACTGCTACCACCGCCGTGCACCCTGCCTCGGGGCCACGATAAGCTTTTTGGGGTGCCCCTGTCCCTCTTTTGACCATGAATATTGGCTGGTGGGTGCGTGTGGGGCGAGGGAGGGAGAGGGTGGTGGGTGGGGGAATTGAGACAGGCCTGCCTGCATTGGGAGGGCTGTGCTTCTTTGACACGTCTTTGTCAGAGTTAACAGGGGAGGCATGGCATGATACACCAACTCACCGGGACGCACGCGCACACACTAACACACACTAGCACACACTAGCACACACTACCACACACTAGCACACACTAGCACACACTAGCACGGTCTACCACGCACCACCACTCACCACCACACACTACCACTCACTACCACACACACCTTTGCTCCCTCGTCGTCCTCCTCGTCCTCTTCCTCCAACTCCTCGCCTCCACCCCCCTGCTCTCCTTCCTCCCTTCTTAGCACCACCATCTCTGTATCACCCTCCCCCTCCTTTCCCTCCTTCCTCTCCTCTTCCTCCCCTTCCTCCCCACCTTTCACCCCTTCCGTCTTCCCCACACCCGTCCCTCCCTCATCCCCCTTCTCCTTCCCTCCTCCGTCTCCTCCCTTGCTCTTCACCCGTCCTTTACCCTTTGCTACTCTGCCCTTCCCATCCTTACCTCTCTGCCCCTCCTTCCCCTCCTCCCCTTTCCCTCCATCCTTCTCCTTCTCCTCCTTCTCCTTCTCTTCCTTGGATCTCCGCACAACGTCAGCAAGAAACATCTTGATGAGGCTAGACGACAGGGAAGAGGAATGCACGCGTGCCCTCGCCCCTCCCTCCTTCCGCTCGCCCTCCCTTTTCCTCTTGCTCGCTTTCTTCTTCTTCTTGTGCCCACCACTCTCAACCTTCTCCTCACCGCTCTCCACCTTCTCTCCACTTCTGTCACCCTTCTCTGCACCACTCTCAACTTTCTCTGCACCGCTCTCAACCTTCTCTGCACCACTCTCAACCTTCTCTGCACCACTCTCACCCTCCTCCTTCTCCTTGCCCCTCTCCTCGTCCTCTGCTGTTACGCCCTTCCCCTGAGCGCCTAACGCGCTTGTGCTTCTCTTAGGCTTTGATTTTCGTTTCGCTCGGCTCCTCCCTCCCTGCTCCTTCTCCTCCCCCTGCTTCTCCCCTTGCTCCTCCCCCTGCTCCACACCTTCGCATCCAGCCGTTTCATTCTCCCCTTCCTCCTTTCCACCCTCTCTTCTTTCCCCTCCTGTAGGCCCATTCTGGACCCCTTCTGTCCTGTCCTTAGCCCCTGCATTGTCGTCTGCTGCTTCTGCTGCTTCTGCTCTGTTCTCCGATGCTCCACCCTTACCCCCCTCCCCTACCACCTCCCCACCACTATCCGCCTCTTCCCCTTCCTCGTCCTCCCCGTCATCTTCTTCTTCCTCCTCACCTTCCTCCCCTTCCTCCTCTTCCTCCTCCTCTTCCTCCTCCTCCTCTTCCTCTTCCCCTTCTTCCTCTTCCCCCTCTTCCCCCTCTTCCTCCTCTTCCTCCTCCTCCTCACCAGCCCCAAACACAGAGGCAACGAGCGCGCTGCGTTCGCCCTCGCCTCGGCGCGCTTCTCGCTCCTCCTGCCTCAACCGCGCGTCCTCGCTCTCCTTGCCCTCGCTCGCCAGCTGCTGCAGCTCCGCCCGATGCTCCTCCAAAGCCATGATCTCGTCCATCCTGCAGAAAAAGAGTGAGATACTAATGTTTGTACATGTACCTGTATATATATCAAGGAAATCATTAGACGAGGATTTGTGAAGCTATCGAGCCAGAACCTCGCCCATCTTGCAAAAAAAAAAAAAAAAAAAAAAAAAAAAAACACACACACACACACACCATTTTAAAACGGGATGCAGAAACCGAGGGGCCCCAGAACAGAAAAAAAAGGTAGAGCACGAGAATGTAAGCCATGGTCCAGTCAACACCGTATTTCATGGGAAAGAGGTGGAACCGGAAGGGTTAGAACAAAAACAGAAAACAAATCCTGTGCACCTGAAGAAGGTGGATATGAGGGCCTTGGGAATATCCCCAGGATTGGCTTCTAGAGCCGTTGCGAGCTGCGCTGGTAGGTGCCGCCCACAAAAGGCTGCCACTTCGCTGCCTGCCGCGGGCGAAAACACGGGGAGACGTGAGCGGGGGAGAAGAGGAGTGGAGAGGGTGAAACGGAGTATTCTGATCTGAGTCGAATCAACAACCAGTTGCGCTGGTAGGTGCTGGCCGCAGAACACTGCCATCTCGCTGCCTTGCGCGGAAACATGTGGGCGAGGGGGAAAGGAACAGAGGGTCGAATAACTGCGCGACCTGCAATAGGAATGTGCTACGCCGGAGCTTAGAAAGGGCGGCGAAAGTGTTACGCGAGAGATACGACGGAAATGGGACTCGTTATAAGACGCCCCGTTACACGTGAATGGGCCTAGGGAAGCATGGTGAGCTCACCCCCGTGACCGTCGAAAACGGCGAACACCTCTGGCCGTCCATCCCCGTTAGAATCCAGTACCGCGGCGTGCTGAGAACGGGTAAGCGCGTGAAGACAACGGGACGAAGGCGTGCCGTCAAAATAGGTGATTGCATGGACGAACGCGAAAGCGAAAGAGCACTTGCTGGTAAAACCGACAGACACATACTGAGGATGGCAAAGCGAAGAAAGCGACGAAATACTTGCTGCGATTACGACGCTTACCGCGCCCCCCCCTGAGGATTTGTGGCGCCTCAAGAAAACTTACCGCGTCCTCCATTGTCATTCGCCAGCCTTGCATTGACGCGGCTGCATACCGTATGCGATCGTCCTCGCCAATCTCCGACTCTTTATCCGTTATTGGATGCGTCAAGTACGCTCCCATCCTGAAATCTATATCCCTAACTCTATCCTTAACCTTCTAGCTATAGACTGAGTCTAGTTGAAGATTCTTACAACCGAGACATCAAGTTCGCTACGAGCTAAGCAAGCATGTACCCCTAGGGTCGGAAACTTGGATCAAGGATAATGATGTCCAGCATGCTCATCGTCAGGAAGACGAGAGACTGCTGTTGAGATTAGGGCCATGAAGTGAACTGATAAAATAAGGAGCTGCGCTAGACTTGCACAAGAGGAACCGTGGATTGGTAGGGCCCATATAGCTTGTGGTGTGCAATCGTACAGATTGCACAAAGGTTGCGCTTTCTGCCTCGCTGTGACTCAACTTCATCGTGTAACAGCGTCTTAGCGTGAACTCTGACCGTTGGATTAGAGTTACCACTTCAAGAATACGAGATGCCTGTTCCGATATTGATCTCATCAGGATTTCCGGAACAAGGCTCTACTCTGAGACCCCATTTAAAGGTTTGAAATTCAAGGCACCAGTCAACACCTGCCAAGTGGTGGTAGTTAATGGGTGGTGTATGGTGACTGTCTTTCAGGAGGGAAATAGGGAGACGATTGGCCCGGTCGGAAGTCGGGGAGAAAAACATTCCGAAGATGGACCGCCACGTGTGGACAGCCACGGAAAGCTTCTCTTGACGGCGCGGGCATGCAGCACGCGTGGAGGAAATGTTATGTTGGCTGTGTTGGGTGGCCTGGCGTGTGGGGAATGCTAGATTTGCGGAGTTGTGACGTGTACGTGCAGCACAGGGATTGGAAGCTTTTCTTGCTGGACAAGACGAATTTTCCAAACAACTTATTGGACATATTTTAGAGTTGGAATGTAGCTCGCCTGTAATTCTACTTGTCGCAGAGTGCTGTATCGAGTCTAATGTCAACAAATCCTCTCAACCCGACTTTGGAACTAATCTAGTCGCTGCTTGAAATTCCTCCTAAGACACGCGGTTCTGACTTCCGAAACTAGGAGACCAAGTATTACAGCCCGCGCATGCCCATCCATCAGGGTGAACACATAGTTATAAACTGTTCCCCCTTTTTTGGCCTGTTGGTTCCCGTCTGTGCTACATGGCCACCGCTGTCGGCTGCCTAATACCAGGCTTGCCGGACGACGTGGCACTGTCATGCTTGGCTCGCGTGCCACGTGGCCTCTATGGGTCGCTCAAGCTGGTCTGTAGGAGTTGGCGCGCCGCAATCGAAGGGTCCGAGCTGTACACGTGAGATTCGACGAAATAATCGAAGGATCACTGCATACATACCACTGCTACTGATACTCACCACGATTTACGACGAACGAATCACACACCACGATATTGGAACTAATTGGGAACACACCACTTGAATAGACGTCAATTCAAGTGACGGCCTCATTCCGTGCCGCAAATCTCTCCGAGTCATCACCCTCCTCTCTTCCTGGTTATAATGCCTCGTTCTAGACTCCTCTCTACATCATCTCCTCCCTTCTTCCCCTCCTGCTAATCTCCCGCATCCCCCCCATCTCATCCATTTTCCCCATCTCCCGCATCTCCCGCATCTCTATTCGACCAGGCAACGGAGTCACCTGGGCGCCACGGAGAGCTGGCTGCACCTCATCCCTCTGCGCAGCCCTCTCTGGTTCGCCTACTCGCCAGGTGCTTCTTGCACCACACAGCACCACACAGCATCTTGCATGCTAGTTGTTTCTCGTGTTTTTTTCTCAAGGATTCGCCCCCCAAGATTTCTTTCTCTGATGTTGCTCTTGTCTTTCTTTTCTCACGGCAGTGCTGTCGCGGTGGTTCATCCTGCCATGGCGCGGGCCTCGCTTCGTGCGCTGTGTGGAGGTGGTGGGTCGCTACCTCCTCGCCTTCGGCACCGATGATGACTCGGGGGGCTCCTACCCCTTCTGCCACGTCAACAAGGTGACTTTAGAGTTTTGAGCCGGCTCAAAAGTCGCTTCGTGCCGTGTGTGGAGGTGGTGGGTCGCTACCTCCTCGCGTTCAGCACCGATGATGACTCGGGGGGCTCCTACCCCTTCTGCCACGTCAACAAGGTGACGCGCCTTAGCATGACGCACCACCAAAGTCACAGAAACAAAGATGTGCTGTCTTCTCTGTCGGGAAAAAAATATACATACAGAATATAGTATATGAGAAGAAGTCATTGTTTCTGAGTTGAACGGCTCTCTCTTCCCTCCAGGTGGCAGTGTTTGACTCGTCCACTGGTCGTTGGAGCGACGGCCCTCCTTTTCCACGTCAGCTGAAGCTGAGCGACGCGATTGGTGCGCACGGGAAGGTGGTGCTGTTCTCGTCGGTGATTGGTCGGTGCGTGTACATGGGTGTGTCTTCCCGGCCTGGCGAGGTGGTTGCCATGCGACTGAGTGAAGACGTGGGTGGGAACAAGAAGGGGGCGGAAGGGGGGGCGGAGGGTGGCGGGGAAAGGGGACGGGAGAGGGGAGGGGGGAGGGGAGCGGAGATGAGGGCGGAGAGGAGAGGGGAGATGGGAGGAAGTGGAAGGGAAGGAGGTGGAGGGGAGAAAGCGGGATGGAGGGAGAAGAGGAATGACGGCAAGAATGGGCAAGTGGGAGGGAAAATACATAATCTTGGTGTGCAGGGCAGTGGTTCGGATGGTGGAATGGCACAAGAAAGCGAGGAGGAGGTGTGGTGGGAGGCGCGAGAAGCTTGGGTGGAGGACGGCGAAGAGGAGGAGGAAGGGGTGGAGGAGGAGGGGTGCGGAGAGGGATCTGCAGGAGGAGGGCGGGGGGAGGAGGGAGAGGGTGAGGGGAGATGGCAGGCAGGGAGGGCAGCAACCAGGCAGGGGAAGGCACCCAGCAAGTGGACATGGACGGAACTGCCTTCCCCCTCCTGCCCTGCCTGGTATTAATCTTTCCCTGTTCATTCACCTTGAGTCATGGCTTTTCACGTGAGTACCACCAGTTAATAGAAATCACCAACAAGTGGGCATGGACAGAGCTCCCTCCCCCTCATGCCCTGCCTGGTACAGCACTGCTCCTCCATTCACCCACTGTCTCCTCCCTCGTTCCGGGTGCATCCGTCCTCTGACTCAAAGTTTTCTGCACTGGTAACTCCACTTCATTTGAATCACCTCGTCTCAAATGTTTTGCCCTTTTCGTTTTGTTTTGTTTGCTTGCTTCCTTGTTTGTTTGTTTGTTTTGATTATTATTCTTTTCTCTCTTTGTTTCTCTCCATGGCAGCTCTCCTCATCTCTCCTTTGCTCTCAACGGCGACTGGCACATCTTCTCAGGCGCACTCCTCCCCTCCCTAGAACCCTCCATTCTCTCGTTCCATCCATCCACCCAATCCTGGTCCCAACCGTCCTCATTAAAAGAAATCTACAGTTGCAGCAAAACAGCAGACATCGTAACATCCTTAGGCCTTGGGATTCCCGGCTGGCGAGCTGATTTCGCCAAGAAGATCATATCTTCGTGGAGGACTGGAGGGGGTCTTCGGCATTTAGCGGTCTTGGACGGAGGGTTGGTGGTCTCTGTGGGGGGTTCTAGGTTTGGCGGACGTGGAAAGGGAGATTTGCAGGCTTGGGTGGAAAAGGAGAAGGCGTGGAGGAAATTGGCTGATTTGCCATTTGATGGAAAATGTACGCAACTTAGAGTCCTTATCAGTATATAGTTTTTGCATCTTGATAATTGCTTGCATTTTATTGAGTGTGTGCAATAGTAACCGATTAGAGAGGGAGGTGGAAGTGTATAGCACCCTTGCGGGAGCTGTAAATGTCCGTATCGAGAACCTTCTCGCGCGTACAATGTTCCTCGCACGCTGCAAATGTGGCGCAAAAATGCCGTTTCTCTCCCGCATGGAGTATGGATCCCCCCCGTCTTCCCCCTCCCATGACTTCACTGAGAAGCACCAACATTTGGCTTGGCATCTGCGCAAGACTGGGTGCACCCGACCTCTGCACTGCACACAATTTTCAACTGGACCAAATATCTTGACTGCATGTCTGTGTTCTATAGTTGTTCTTTCCTTATCCTGCAGCAGATTTTGGCGGTCGGGGGAACTATTAGCACCTCGAGCACGGCGCTCCGTCCCGACCTAATTATCTACGTATCATCAAGACGACGACTTGCCCGAACTGCTTGTTATGGCTTCCGCGGCTTCCCTCACATCGGGACGGATTTCCGCGAATTTCGTTACAGATTTCCACCATGCGGCAATCCACCGGACTCCGTCAACCTCCGCTCGAAGCGTAATGCCCGTCGCCACCGCGCATTCCACGCATTCCGCGCGCTCCGCGTACTCTGCGGCCGCGGCACTTTCGTCCGCTGCGTCCGTGTCTCGCGCCTCGACTCCCCTCTCGCGCGAAAGCGGCGTCCGCGCGCCGTCCTCCCCCTGCGCGCCGGTTCGGCACGGCGCCTCCCGCCGTCTCGTCGTCAGCGCCAAGTACCTGGGCAAGTTCGGCTCCGCGCCTCCCGCGCCTATCGCGCCCTCCGCCGCCCCGGCCGCTGCCGCCGCCAGCTCCGGGGCCGCTGCCGCCACGCGCTCTCCGCCCGCCAGCAACACGCTCCCTGCTCTCGCGCGCCAGCTTCTTCCGCTCACCGCGGCGGTCGTGATTCCCGTCGCCGCCACCGCGGCCGCGTTCGCCGCCGCGGGCTTCGGGGAACGCGACGCGTACCGGTGGTTTCGCAGCCTGAACCCTCCCTCTTTCGCGCCGTCCGATTGGCTGATGGCCGCCACGTGGACGGTGCTGCAGCTGCCAGCTGGCGCAGCGTCGTGGATGGTTTGGCGGCAAGGCGGATGGGCGAGGCAACGTGGCGCGATGGAGATTTACTTGGTGCAACTAGCCGTTGGATTGCTTTGGCCAATCGTCATGTTCCGTCTGAAGAAGATCGACGCGGCGGCTGCAGTTGCAGGTATGGGGGGCTAATGGGTGGGTGGGAGGTAAGGTACGGTTTAGAGGTGCTGCGGTGGCTGGGCGAAAGGCGTTATTTGGTCTGGGGGCCTGGTGTGGCGGATTGTCATGTTCCCCCTGAAGCAGATTGACTGCCTGGCAGGTAACGGGAGAGGTGCAGCATACAGCCCTTGTGAAAGGAAAGTATGGAGCTGAAAAATGCGACTCTCCAGTTGTCAAGCTCAGAATTCTTACGGAATAGAAGGGCAGGGAAGGCACCAGTGAACGGGATATAAGCGCCAATATGAGTTGAAATTGGAAATGCAACGCATTTTTCCTCCATTCGTCTCCGTCACCTCCTTCGCAAAGGTGAGAGGAAAGGCGCCATTGTGAACTTTAAACTGGATTTTTGAGCGCCAATCGCAGTCGTTACTTGTAAATGCAATGCACATTTTTCCTCCATTCATCTCCTTCACCCCCATTCCGTGCCTTCCACCGCATTGCCTCTCGCTCGCCTCTCCCCTCACCGCTCCTCTCGCCTCTCCCCTCGCCTCTCCCCTCGCCTCTCCCCTCGCCTCTCCCCTCACCGCTCCTCTCGCCTCTCCCCTTGCCTCTCCCCTCGCCTCTCCCCTCGCCTCTCCCCTCGCCTCTCCCCTCGCCTCTCCCCTCACCGCTCCTCTCGCCTTTCCCCTCGCCTCACTTCTCGCCGTTTCTCAGCTTCATGTCTTTTACCCTGGTCATGGTCCCCTCCCCTCCCCTCCCTCCTCCTCCAGGCGCCCTCACCGTCTCCTCCCTCTCCACCTTCCTTGCCTTCTACCGAGCCTCGCCCGTCGCCTCCCTGCTCTACCTCCCGATGCTCGTCTGGCTCGGCCTTATCTCCGCCATCACCTACTCCATCTGGACCAATCACAGCGTGCTCCTTGACAAGCTAGAGTGGGACGATGTGCTGGCGACTGTTAAGAAGATCTGGCGGGATATCCGGGGGCTGACTGGCAGCGGTGGCAGTGGCAGCGGTGGTAGTGCCAGCAGCGGCAGTGGTGGCGGGGGGAGTGGGTGGGGTGCAGGGGGGTGGGATGGTGGGGAGGAGGGGGGGAGTGCGTTTGGGTGGTCTGCTGCTCCTAGCAACCAGAACAACCGCCGTGATTGATTGTGCTGTTTTGGGTTCTATTCTGGCCAACTTGTTCCTGTTGGTCAACTGACAAGTGGCTTGTTTTGTGTAGTAATAAACTTACTATCTGCTTAGCTATGCAGGCTTCGGTTCGAATAGGGCACGGCTGTGCTGCACTGGAGGAGCGAGGAAAATGTTGTGCATGAATCAGGGGGTGCATGGGTGGCGAAGTACTTAGCGACGACATCAGGCGTGGGGCTGGTACTTGGAGGGAGACAGTCTGTCGTACTTAGGGCGTGTAACCATTTTGCCATTTTGGGTTTTTGCGGACAGTCCGTTTTTTTTTTCATTCGGACGGTCCTAATCAACGGTTAGGGCCGTCCAAATCGACAATTCGGCACTTTGATACCGTCCGAAGTAGATAGTGACACTTTTTCAAGTCTCTTTCAAATTCGCGAGTACTGTAGCATCGCGAGAGGCACTGTACTTTTCGTAACCCAAGTCACGGTTTTCGCTATTTTCGCGTAAACCCCTTCGCACTATGTTCGAACATTTGGCGACGCGACTCGAAATGTGTAATTTGTTTAAAGCCCGTGTCCCAAATTGCGGGCCGCGCGGGTCAAGCTTTTAAAACTTGAAGAAGTGGGCTGTGCAAGCTTTGAAAAGAAGCGCACCTGCAATTTGGAACTTTCGAGGTCTGACACACCCACAAGGGTAAAAACGAGGGGCTGGCTGGGTTTGGCGAAAAAAACGAATTTGACGAAATCAGAAAACACTCGCCAAAGCCCAAACTACCAAAACTCCCTCACATCAACTTTTTAAAACTTGTGCAATTTGGGTCAACGACTTTAAATTTTGCACGCCAATCTCGTGCAAGGACATTCGGACGGTCCGAATTGTTAGAATAAGCAGGCAGGAATGGTGGACTAGGTAGCATGCATGAGTACAAGTAACTAACCCTAAAGTGTTGTACCCCTTGTATGCTAACCCACTATAGCCTAGAGATAACACAAACATACAGTTTGACACACCCCCATAGGCTAAGTGGGAGATAGCAAACACAATAGACGGTCACAAGACCAGTCAAGCAAGAGAACAAGCAAAGCAAAGCAAAGCTCAGGGTGGATCTCAAGGACACCACACAATCTGAGCACAAGCAAGTGGCCACAAGGCCAGTTCACATGGAGAGGTATATAATAGCAAGGCAGTACACTGATCACAACCTAGCAAGAGAAAACATGCAGGTATAAAGATATATAGCAGTGTACAACAAGAGCAAGTCAAGCAACCAGCAGGTGAGGCAGAGTGGGCACAAGCCCAAGAGCAGTGCAAAAACGCTGATGATCACCAGCCCCAAGGGCCTTGGTGAAGACATCAGCAGTGTTGGCCCGAGAGGCCACGAAAGCAAGGCGCAGCTGACCACGCTGCTGCAGCTCACGCGCAAGGAAGTAGCGAAGAGCAATGTGCTTCGTTCGGTGCTCCAATCTCTGCTCGCGACACAAGGCAAGCATTGCCTTGTTGTCGACGTACAGAACTGGAGGAGAACGAGGCCGCTCCCCCAAGTCGGTCAGCAGGTAGGTCAGCCAGCGTAGCTCCTGTGCAGCCATGGCCCCAGCGTAGATCTCGGCCTCACAGCTGGAACCAAGCACAGAATAAGAACGAGTGGACCTCCACGAGACAGAACCAGCGCCAAGACTGAAGGTATAGCCCTGTGACGAACGCTGAGTCGCCTGGTCGTCGGCCCAAGAAGCGTCAGAGTTTCCTGTGAGGACCACCGAACCCCGTCTTCCAAGCACAAGCCCCATGCCCGATGTACTGCACAAGTAACGCAGTACCTTCTTCGCATCATCAAAGTGCACCTTTCGGTGTCTACCGGGTGCCACGTAGCGAGCCAGAAGGCTGAGAGGGTACGCGAGGTCAGGTCGTGTGCACGTCATCAGGTACATGAGGCAACCCACAAGCTCTGGGTACGGACCACTTGGCCCTATGGACTCGTCCGAAGGTGGAGCTGAGAGCGAGTGGCCGGTAGCCAGATGAGTGGGCTGTGGCGAGGAGTACGTGAAGCGGAAGCGCTGAAGGACCTGGTGCCCC